GCGGCTGCCGGCGCGGGGATTGGCCGGCTCCACCTGCGCTCCAAGGCCTCAGGCAGCGCCGGGGGCCTGGGGCCTGCCCCCCCCCCGCGTGGGCGGCTTGGCGTGGGAGCGTGGGGCGCGCGGCGGCAGCAGCTCCCGGGTGCTGATTGGCCAGAGCTGCGGAGGGCGGGGCGGCTGGCGTGAAGGGGGCGGGCCCAGGCCGGTCCCTTCTTCCCCAGCGTCCTCCCTAGCGGCTCCCGCGTTTCATCATCTCCAGCCCGCGGCCGCTGGGCGCGGCGCGATCCACTTAGCCCGGGGCTCCAGCCGTTCTCCAGCGCCTCTCCTGGCCTTCTCCGCACCTAGGCCGGGAGTTTCCCGTGGGCCGGCTCCCAGAACCCGCGGGGCACAGCTGGGGGACCTCGCCAGCTACGCCTGAGCCATTCATTGAGAGCCCAAGTCCTCCGCCTCCTTCTGTTCAGAGCCGCAGGTAGCGCCATGGAAAAGAGCGGCGAGACCAACGGCTACCTAGACAGCGCCCAGGCCGGGCCTGCGGCGGGACCTGGCGCGCCCGTGACCGCAGCTGGACGCGCGCGGCGGTGCGCAGGCTTTCTGCGGCGCCACGCGCTGGTGCTGCTGACGGTGTCTGGGGTGGTGGCGGGCGCCGGCCTGGGCGCGGCGCTTCGCGGGCTCCAGCTTAACCGCACGCAGATCACCTATTTGGCCTTCCCCGGCGAGATGCTGCTCCGCATGCTGCGCATGATCATCCTGCCGCTGGTGGTCTGCAGTCTGGTGTCGGGCGCCGCCTCCCTCGACGCCAGTTCTCTCGGGCGCCTGGGCGGCATCGCTATCGCCTACTTTGGCCTTACCACGCTAGGCGCCTCGGCTCTCGCTGTTGCTCTGGCGTTCATCATCAAGCCTGGGTCTGGCGCTCAGACCCTTCAGTCCAGCGACCTGGGGCTGGAGGAATCGGGCCCTCCTCCGGTCCCCAAAGAGACAGTGGATTCTTTCCTTGACCTGACCAGGTAATGATCCCCCACCTCTCTGGGTGTGCAGTGGAGACGCCAGTCCTCCGGTATGCTCCAGTTCATTCACACACACACACACACACACACACACACACACACACACACACACACACACACCTTCCTGTACTCCTGAGTTAACTCTTAATTGGCTTCTGGTGGCCTTTAACATTTTAAAAATATCAGAGTAACGTCTGGAATCTGCATGCTGACCACACCTTTTCAAACAGCAGCGGGGTCGCATCGGTCAATATCAAGGAGCAGGGCAACATCCTTTAGCAAGAGCCAGTCTTACCGCTAGGTGTGTGTGTGTACATTAGGGCAGAGGCAGCAGTCTTACCTGTACTTCACTCTTTTTATTTTTTTTTAAGATTTTATTGGGGAATTGGGGAAGGGGAACAGACAAGTTGGTGTCCTTTTGTTCTTCAGTCTAGTTGTGGAGGATGTGGCTTCACTGGCCCATGTTGGTATTATCATTGTGCTCTTCCCGGTGAGGCAGTCGCCCTGTGGCCATTGGACTGCTGCTGTGGCTCTCTGAAGCTCACGAAAGCGCAAGCCAGTTGCTGGCCAGCCCCATTGAAGCCCACGTAGTTGCCGGACACTCAGGGCAGCCCAGCTCCAGGTCAAGCTGTTGTTCACCATCATTGGGTGCAGTGTCACTGGCCCTCACGTGGGATCCTAACCAGGGCCCTGCTGCTCAGAACTAGTGTTCCAAGCCAACTCTTAACCAACACTCCACACGATCGGCCCTGTACTTTACTCTTTAGACTCTCCGGCAACGCTCTAACCACTCCCAGATATCTTCACCCCATATTCTCCCCATGGTGCCCGAAAGCTTCAGGGAGCATTGGTTAAATTTTGCCTGTTGAGCCATCCTGGCCTGTAATCTATGGCCTTCTCTGTTTCAGCCCTTTGGCTGGGAGGAAGCTAGCAATTGTTTGAAGAGTTGTCAGTGCACCCAAGGATAACGAGGCTGGGGTTAGTTTTGTGGGGCCCATTCCCCAGACAAGACTCTCCTAGAGGCTTGGGACAGGTTGCTGTCCACACCATAGTCAGGACCACTGTAGAGTATTTTGAGTTTCGAGGGGCTTTATTTGTGGGAAGGTGTGAATTCTAAAGGAAAGGGAGAGAAAAGCATCTTTGCCTGCTTTCTGTGACTCTGAGAAGTTGCTTTTCATCCCTTGAGATGTAGAGTAGTTTCTGTGGATTACCCAAACCAGCCTCTTTTAGTTTCTCCATGAGCCCCGAGTTCACAGATGGGAAAACTGCAGCCTGGAGGCCTTTACTGACCTGGCCAAGTGCAGCTGAGTGAGGAGCTCAGCTGGCTCCCCGTCCAGGTTTCGGATAATTCTGGATTCTGAGTTTTGGAGAGGTGTGTTTTGTCTTGAGTCACTGAGGCAAAACTCCTCATTGCTGAGGCTGTGAAAAAACAGCAAATCCTGGGCAAAGTGACTTGACTTCCTGCTCTTTCCATTTCTCCCTCTGGAAAATGTGACGACTACCACTTAAGAGAAGAGTGTTCATTTGAAACTAAAACAACAAAAAGTTCAAGGCATTGCATTGAAAAATAAAAAAAAAATCTCTGATGAGGCAGACCAGGAAGTTCTTACCAAAAGTTCTTACCAAAAAGGCAGGTGGAGGTGGCCTATTAGGACTTTGATGAAGTCACAGCCTTTGTTTAGTGTCTGGCAGCTTGATATTTGGAATCTTTACAGATCATTAAAGTTTTGGGACTCACTTTTAGGTGGGTGCTGAAGACAGCCTACTAAGGTTGAGAGTGACTTTGGCTTATTACCTTCAGTATATCTGTCAGCTGTCCCAGGAGGGAAGGCAGTTATGGGGTCAAAGGATTCTTTTTTGCAGAGATCAGTGGCCCAGGGAGGGAGCGTGGCTGCCCAGCTCTGATGTGCTCATTGTACCCCCGTAGGGAGGCTCAGTAGCATTCTCTTATCTCTAAGAGAGGGGCAGTGGCCAAAAAACAGGATGGGGTGAAGTGAGGGGTTACCTTATTACCACCAGCCCCAGAAGGGATTTCTTATATCCTGATCATGGCTTTCTAGTTTTAGATCCAAGCCCCTTCCGCTCCTGCTTCTGAAGTGAATGGTGACCCAGCATCATGGCCTAGCAGTCAGTGTAGATGCAGACTTCTCAGATGCAGATACAGGGAAAGACTAAGAGAACCTTTGTTGTGGCTTGTTGGGAATAGGTAGTGTTTAATCATGCTTCCAGGGGCTAACCTCATTTAATCCCCCATCTTATGGATAAAGGTGCTGTAGGTGGTATGATCCTATTTTACGACTGAGGAAATTGAGCCATCGAGACGTCAAGTGATTTGCTCAAGGTCACAGAATGGTTTATCAAAAAAGGGATTGGAAGAGCTATGGGTCTTGTGCCCCACAGTTCAGGGCTCTCTTTCTACCACTCTCCCATCCCCTAAGTCAACATGCCATAGTAAGGACACCATGCTGCTGGTCTGTCTTAGAAATGTTTGCTCTGGGCCAAAGGAGGAAACCAGGCAAGGGTATGATTGGGTTAGGGCAGATGCCCACTTCCTCTGAACAGAGGAAATGAGCCCCTTGGGTGAAGGAAAGTGTTTGTGCAGCTGTTCAGACTTGGCTTTCACGTTGGTCTTGAGCCACATGGAAATACTTCCTGGGTTTGGGGAGTCTCTGGGTAAAACATTTTTAATTGCTTCCTTCAAAGAAGCCTCACCGATGTCAATTTTATGTGACTCTGGGCATGTTCTTTGACAAAGGCAGGGCACAGTCCTTTCTGCCTGTGGGCATGTGAATGAAATGAGACTCTGCCAGTAAACACCTTAATTATCCAGCATGCCCTCCCTTGGTAATTGCCCAGAACATAAACACCTGGAAGGAGTGGAAAAAGGCTCTGATGACTTAGTGTAGTGCAGCTGCCACCAAGGCTCTGCTAAGGCCCATGACCTTTCCTGTTGGTGAAGTGCCCTAGAACTCCCACAGGGTCTCTCTGCCATGATTTCCAATTTGTTTTTTCAAGATGGGACCACAAGTCGGAAAGAAATGAAGCCAATAGCTATTCATTAGGCCTTTTAAAAAATTCAGAATGCCATTGCTGAGTGGTTGAGTCCCTGCCACCAATGGATTAGAAATAACAAAGTAGGCTAGGGAGTGGGCATGAGATGCTGGCACTAGGAGCAGCACCTTTGAGAGCTGAGATGTGATGGTGGGTAACAACTGGCAGGTGGCAGAGTCACAGATAGTCTCCTCCTGCGCAGCCTGGAGCTTTATGCCTGGGGACCCGGAACAGTACCAGATGCTCAGAACTGGGAGTGACCCAAGTCATTGAGCTGTGCCTTTTCATCCAAAACGAAATAATTTTGGCACCAAAGAGACAGAAACAGGTTATCAGGACCCCAGTCATTGTGGAAGTTCGTGGTCCCTAATAATGCTTACTGGTTGTGGGTCCTAGGGCATGTCCATTACTTTCTGTGCCTTGGCTTTCTCATCTTTATAATGGGGCTCATGATAGTATCTACCTTGCAGGGTTGTTTTGAGGGTTAATGAGTTACATCTGTAAAGCTCCTAGAACAGAACTGGCCCAATATATGCTTGTTCTTGTTATAAATGGAGCAGTATTACAACAGAGTGATTGGGTTTTTCCGGTTCTTGTGAACTAATGGGGTGGCCAGTTAGTTCTTTTCATATTCTTAAACAAATGAGAGTAAATGGGAAGAAAATGAATGTTTAGGGGAACTCAAGATGACTTGTAGCTAATGTAGTCTCTAGGTATATTGGGGACCACGTGGAACATGGAGAAAAAGTGAACAGTGACTGACTGTTTTGGACTAATGGAATCAATACTACGAGACATTTGGAAAAAGGAGAGTAGTCAAAACTAAACACAGTAGAGCCTTCCTTCTGAAATGGGGCAGAAATCCTCACATGTCCTCCCTGAAATTCCTATTTCTTTTTCCCCTGCATTACATGTCTGTGGTCGCCAGAGTTGACTTCTGTTTTCTTCAGCTGTGAATGGAAAGGATTGAGGCAACTGGCTTCTAAACATTCATCTGGATGCTAAAACTTATAGTTTTCGAATGGAAAACCAGAGGTGTATCTGCAAAGGGAGCTGGCAGGGACAGCTGCTGGGCCAGGGCTCTGTCTGCACTGGCAGCCAGAAGAATGGCCTTGGGGCGCTGTCTTTTACAGAAGTATAGCTGATGCTGCCCTGTGCCTGGTAAGCACAACTGAGATTTTGCCTATTGCCTGATTTTCTAGGCTTTATTGTTTTTCCTTGTGCTCATTTTCTCAACAGTGGACAGTGCTATGAGCCTTTCCCTTCAGCGAGGGAGGCGTGAGGGACTTAACTTTGCTTCCCAAGGATTAGTGTGAATGTGATGCCCGTCAAGCTGCAAAGAACACATTTCTTTAATAGGTGCAAAGAAACCTATTGGAGGCTGGGGTCTAATATGAGCCCCTAGATCATAATCAAAAGAGCGAATAGTGAATAATTTCTATTACATGGTGGCCATGGCAGGTGGTTTGACCTATGCCTATGTCTTTATTTTCTATAGGCAAGGTGAAGACTCTTAGCAAATCTAACAAGGATGCAAATTAATGGAGGTTTCTCAGCCTAACTAGTCACTAAAGGGAAAAAATGGCAGCTTGTAATTAAAAAAAAATAAAATACAGAAGGTGTTAACGCAACACTATTCCTTGTTTTACCCAGAGAATACCTAAATAGTTCAGAAACTAAAAAGAACATACACCCAAAGAGGCCCGATGGGCAGTGATTAAGACACTGAAGCCACCTATCCGGGTTTGAGTCCAGCCCTCCCACTTGCTAGCTGCATGGACAAGTCATTTAGCCTCTCTCTGCCTCAGCTTCCTTATCTGTAAAATGAGACCAATAATAGTATCTACTGCCTAGACTTGTTATGAGGAATAAATGAGTTAATATTTGAGTGTCTTGCTAATAATATTCTAGTGTGTCCCAGCCTCTCATGGACAGCTCGGGGCTACTTG